ACTCAACTGTGTGGAACCATGACTCTCTCGACAGATCGAAAACAGATGTTGCGGACACCGACATAATTTCGATGATTTCAGATCTCAGCGTTACGTACGCATACATATCATGAAAAAAAAAATTTCACCGATCTCGACAGAGGCCGTTCTTTAGTTAGTCAAAGCTGATCGCAGTCTAACCGAGTCTAAACGATGATCGCGACTCCTCCTCCTACTGGATGTCGAGTGGATCCAAAGAGAGAGGGAAACGGACAATCAATTAAACCTCGCTTCAATTTAACGTAGTAGTTACGTTTATTTGTTACATCTAATGCCCGTTTCTCGGTTTCTATCAATTTAGATTAACCTTACTCTTGATTTCAACTTATTTTTTATCTTTTTCCAAGGCCAGTTCAACTTATTCATTGTCTCTTTCCAATTCTAAAATTAAAAAGAGATGGGAAACAAATTAACTTCGGTTAAGAGTTAACCGTGAGTTGTGGAACTGAGTCATAAAAGACAACGCTGGTGTATCTTTCTGCGTCGCTTTTCATCAATACATCGGAAGAAAAAAATCTAACCCAGCTAACACAAAGCTGTTAGCTGTAACGTGCCCGTTAATTGTAATTTCCCACTCAACAATATAACTGTAATATAACACGTGTTATATTACAGTTATATTGTTGATTGGGAAATTACAACTAACGAGTACGTTACATGCAACATTGTGTTAGCTGGGAAGCTTGTTCGAGAAACAAGGGGTGCTTTTGATGACACAAGTGAACGAAAGTATCGTTCTATTTTTGTTAGATGAATGGAATTTATTGAATAGAACGACGCTACAATGTTGACACGTGGAATGAAAAGGTCCCTGTATTTTCACCGAGATAAAAAATCACAGGGAGAGAATAAATTCGCGATGAGGAGGAGAGGGGGAAGAAACGACGAACGACTCACAGTGAAGAGCGTGCGAGAATCATCCTTTCCAAGGTCCAACGATCGGATGCTACCGAGATCCTTCTTCTTGCACACGGGTCACTGTTATAGCAGACACACCGGACCGACCGGACGGAACGGAACCTCGCGGCGGCGGCGGCGGTGGCGTTCCGCACTGTTCCGCACGCACGTGTACGCACGGAGGCGAATTTCCGGTCCAAAAGACGTCGTTTCCCGACGAGAGACGCGACTTTTCCGCGTCGAACGTGCGTTCGTGCGTGCGTACGTGCGTCGTCGTCGTCGTCGTCGCCGTTGTCGTCGTCACGTCTTCGCTCGCGCATACAGGGCCTCCTCTCCGATGACCGAGGACTAATAATAGTCACGGCGTAGCCACGAGCGAACGCAAGTGAACGCTATATATCTACGTGCGACGCTGTGTATACGTATTAAAGTATGTACGCCGCTACTCCGCGCGAGAAAAGACTGAAATATCCAACGGGAGTCGGCACGCCGCGTCGCGACGCTTCTCTCTCTCTCTCTCTCTTTCTCTGTTTCTCTCGAGTCGATCATGGGATCGGAGCGAGATCGGGAATATCAGGCTAGTAGTCATCGGTTCTTATTTCAAGATTGTCTTAAGTAATGTCTTAAAAGATACTAAATACTGCTTTGTGGTCGATATTCAGTCTGTTTTTATCTTAAGAAACGTCTTAAGATGCTAATACAGCCCTTTGATTAGCTTATGATATTTTAAGATTGTACTTAAGACGGTCCTAAATATAAGATTCGGTCATGGGTACTTTTCATTTAGTGACACAAGCAGCGTTCTATTTTTTTAAGCCTTGTGTCCACGATGCTAAAAATCGGTCCGAGATCTCGGACAGAGAAAAAATTAACAAATAACGGTCATGGGTACTTTTCATTTAGTGACACAAGTCGACATAAGCAGCGTTCTATTTTTTTTAAGCCTTGTGTCCACGATGCTAGAAATCGGTCCGAGATCTCGGACAGAGAAAAAATTAACAAATCACATTGGAATAATTTGATCGCATGACCGTTGCGATTGGTCAATGCTTTCTTCATCCGAGATCTCGGACCGATTTTTAGCATCGTGAACACAAGGCATTCGGAGAATAACAAAGATAGAACGACCCTTGTGTTGACTTGTGGCACCAAATGGAAAAAACTCTTTGAACCTATCGGTCTATAATTCACGCTATTCTCCGCCGGCGGCGGAGTTAAAAAAGGTGATTTGTTTACCAACGCTGCGGACACTTTGATTGATTCCGCTGGTAGCGAGATAGAACTTTTTGTCATTGTCTCTTATTTTGTTATTGTCGCGAGATTTCATCGATGTTTATGTGAACACACGCGAATTGCCTTCATGCAGATAAAGATTTCTTCTGTGCTTTCATGATGATCTAATATCTCCGACTATAAAACGATGGATTTTTGCATAACTTCTATATTCTTAGCACCTATGGCATTACTATATTATATGTTTATTATTTACATTTTACATAAATCTTATCACACTTTTATCTTGCGTATGTGCCATTTAAAAGAATGTGAAGGATTAAAGAAAATTTTCTTATTGAAATAGAGAGATTGGTCTCTGTATTGAAGAATGTTTGATCTCTAAGTATGTATTAATCCAACATTATTAATGACTATTTTTATACCAATGTAAATAATTTTGATTAACTTATACTTTTTACCTTTTTCTAAACATTAGAAAAAGATAAATAGTAAATTAAATCAAGATTAAAAACAATTTACATTGATAAAAATAGATATAAATCCCAAATACTATAAATATAATGTTATTTAATAAATACTATACCTATTTTCTATATGATTATCGTAATAAAAATATGTATAATATATATATGGAATAACTAAAATAAACGAAGAAAACGTTACATATAATTTACATTTTATTTATAATTGCAAGTATATCAAACGTAATAAATTAAGAAAAAAATATATTTCAATTGATTTTTTATATTTTTTGCACTTTACAACAATCATTTAATAAGAATAACACGACATAAAGTATTAATTTTATTAAATTTTCCACTTTAGCAAAATAATAATTGAATTAAGGCATTAATAAATTACAAAAATCTCATCTTCAAAAATAAAGATGATTATGGAAATTGTATAATACTCTGTTTTGCAAATTTTTACTATGTGATGTCATAATTTGTCGCTTTCGCATGATTTTTACCGTCATCGCGGACTACATTCCTCTGAATGGATCCATTGTTTATTCACATGTCTGGCATTAAAGTTCTATTCATCTCGTTTCGCATTCGATCAGGAACAATGATTATAGAAATATGATGAATTCGAGGAAATCCCTAATCTCGCTGTTAATACACTAATATTAAAAAAAAACGCACCAACAGGTTTGAGAAGTATACGAAGTTGAGAGTCTACTCACTATAAAATTAACATAATAATGGCTGAAGGTCTCACCTTCGTCAGCGCTCCATTCGCGCGAGTTGCTCGCACCATTCTCGCTCTTTATTTATTACCAAACATTCAATGAAGATCAATGTTAGTGCCGCATCAGGATTATCTTCACAGTATATTTTTTACATTTTACGCAACTCGACAAACAATCTCAATCAAAGTGAGTTTCTCCTTTTTAATCGTTTTTCGACGAGAATTTCAATCGTTGATGAAAACAAAAACCCTCGATCTATGATAAATCTCTAAGATGCCCGATTCCACCAATATAAAATTAACTTTAATCTCGGTTCGATTTACTCTTCATCTCTTTCTAATTTCAATGACCATTTTTACCAACGTAGTTTAATTATAATCTCGGTTCAACTGATTTAATTCTTCATTTTTTTCTATTTCTTATCTCTAAAAATAAGAAAAAAATGAAATATTGAACGGGGATTAAAATTAATCTACATTAGTAGAAACGGACATTAGCACAAACATTCTATAAACAGTAAATTATAAAAAGTTAATCTTACATTGATGAAACCGGGGCTGAGTCGCGCTTATTATTTCAAAATGATGCCCTTTGTCCCCACGTTTTGCCGAATTTTTCGCAGCACTTTTGTCGGAACTCATTAGAGATATTTAAAACGACCATAAAATGCTGAATACCTGTCGCGAAACGTTCACGATCACGTCACTCCCGGCGCGACTCGATTTCTAAGCGCGATCGACGGCGCTCGTCGTCTACGCCTCGCTCGATCCAGCCAATCGATCATCCGACCGAATGCAGCAGAATGCAGTCGTATCGCGTCACTCGTCGAAGCTATAGATATCGTTTCCCAATTATTGCGACGATGATTCACCTCGTGCTGGATAACGGGCGCTATTAGCACCTTTTCGGAGTTCCTCCCGCGCGTTCAAATCACCGAGAATTGTTATTCCGGAGATTTCCGGAAGAGAACCGGACGCGAGAGCTACAACGCGGTACCGATGCTGTCACGCCGATGACTGGACATGTACACGGCGTGCACACACCTAACATTACTTAATACGCGATTTGCGTAGTAGGCGGCCACGCACCGCCTCCGTACACCTGCCGACGCGGATCACCGACGGAAAGGAAAATAAAATAAAAAAAAAAAAAGTTATACCGCGCCCCCGGATCGGAGCGCCGTTTATATCGGTCATTTATCCGCGTATGTAAATTCGTCGCAGGTTCGCATGACCCACGCGCTTATCTCAATTTAAATTATAATTAACTTTGAAGAAATTGTATTGCGCTTTAATTACCGCGCTAACTCCTTACGGCCCTTTTTTGTACAATCGTTTGATTTATTTATTTTTTAAGAATACAGGAATATCTGGTTTTATTTTTATTGTATCTTTTCATATTTATCTCAATTTACACACAATTAATTTATATGCATCTTTTTTTTACTTTACAATAAGCTTATATGTGGATAAACGAGATATGTGGTAATAACGTATGTAAATATATGACACTAATTAATATTAATTAATATGTATATACGTAAAACAAAAAATACTTTTTAATTTGTAGTATTTTATAACAAATGTTATAATTTATAATAATGAAAATATTTAGGAAGTAATTAATAGATTGGGTCTAACAAATATCTTCCTTCTCCCTTTACTTTTTAAACTTTATTTCTGTGTACTAGAATCTATGAATTGTGCATTATGCGTCAATGATAAATGTAATGGTCCGTAAAATTAAAAATTCTGGAAACTGTAAGTTGCAAAAGATTTCCTCTCTAATCTCTAGAATAGTCTAGAGAATAGTGATCACCTGGAGATCACCTGGAGGGAGTTTTAGCCTAGCAGCGAGGATAAGAGTCTTAACAGCGAGAAAATAAAATTCAGTCATGATAATGTTAAATTAGAGCGAAGTGATAGTTTTATACCCAATTTATTGTACATAACACTGAAATAAGTAAAATGATACATATGACAAAGACATGTCACCCACCCACGCGTCGCATACACGCACATTTACGCTCGCACATACATACACCCTCGGAAATCGTTGCTTATTTATTTATGAATACGATTTATAGAGGCTTACAAATCATAAAGCAGTGATAAGGTAACCCTAATCTTAAATGGAAGCATAAATCATTTATCACTTTTCCGTCTAATGGCTAGACTTCGTTACATATCGTTCGATGATATTTTCCATCCCTTAAATGTCTAATGCATTTCACGTTACAAATAAATATGTATGTTTTCTTTGTATGCTAGAAAATTATAAACTAAATCGCTGATTTTTGTTAATTTTTGTCTTATCAAAATAGAACTAGAATCGAATCGACAGATCGATCCGCTTAACGAACGGCAGAAATATCAGTTCTCGTTATATACTATTCGAATATCTTTTTGTTCGCGCGCATGTGAACATCTGACAATGATATCCGAAGTGCACAGATTCCTGGCACTCTTGCGTGAGAACTGACGGTAAGACGGAAGTTATACTTATTGCAAAAAAAATCTTATAACTACATAATATAATTTGATTAAGATTGAACTTAGCTAACACATTAGAAATGAGCACGAGACCATCGCATGACGCGGTATATATAAAACATTTGTCTAATCATTTAAACAATCATTAAAACAATAATAAAAACAGCTAATTCCTCCTAAAAGTAAAAATCAAAATAAACCGCATCAGCACCAATGTTTCCTTGAGAGCGCGTCGATTTAGTTAGGAGGATTAATTTACTAAAAACTCTCTCGTGCTCGCGGGACGCACTCTCGGTCTCTCGCTTGCAAAAATGCCCTGATTTCATAAACAAGACTCATTACATGGAATCCCGCGGAAGTAACAACGCGTGCGTTGTGTGAGGCAGTGATGTCAAGTAGCGTTTCCGCATAATTCTGGCATGCTTTAATTTAAAGCGAATCTTAGGTAACAGTTATATAGTTTATACAGCAGTTTTGGTATCTATCAAAATCTGACAGTGGGTAATTCAGGACACATAACTGGTATCTCTCTTATAAATTTCAGTATGTCGTCGAGTAATATATATCTTCGAACAGCGTCTTGACAACTCTGTAGGCACATTCCTGCTTTAAAGTCGAAAATACATGTGTTCAGATACGTACTGAAAAACCGATTAGAAATTCTCATTGTCTCTGAATACACATTTCTCTTAAATACAGCTGTGAGTATATAACGTGATTTTATAAGGTATATACGTACTTATAAATGTAGTCGCGACGTAGTCGAAATGCAACTTGCCTGTAAGAGAACGTTTCCATGTACGGACAAAAAATATCTGAGAGAAAGAGTGTCGAGCAATATTACATTTCGACTATCCGGTTATCTGTTATAAATAATTAAAAGATATTTGCTTGCTAGCATGGCCTACTGAACACTTGGGTAGTTTGGAGCTTTCGTGAGTAATTTACAATCACTCTTGCTTATGTCTATTTTTTCCTACTGCGTTCTGTAAGTAAAATCAATATTATCTATATGTATTTACACAAATAATACATTAATGCATGTAACGTAAGGAACAAGTATAGAATACTCATTCGGATGGAAAGTCCATGTTTTGCAGTAACATTGTTACCATGGTAACTTGTTCTCATCTTGTACTATTCTGACTTTTCATTGATTCAATATATGTAACGTAAAAATATCTTTCGCAAGAAGACATTAGATTTGTACCTCAAAGAGTTGCATTTATCCGTTTTAATAACATGAACGTATAGTAAAGGATACAATGTATCAGTTAAAAAACAAAGCCATCCAAAAAATATTCATTCAAATATAAACTCAACTACGTAGGCATTCATCTCTTTCAATAGATCTAACCTCAATACCTTACAATAAGAACAACCTGTGACCTGAAGTTAAAAATACATCCAGGATATAGGTCCGCATTTGCAATTGTAATATTTTATGCCTTCCGCTTTCAAGTTACTGAATGACAATGGTCACTCTCATTCTAAGATATTGATACACATGATTATTTAACAAAATGTTCTTTCGTTCCGGAGAATATAAACTATGTTGTAATCGAATTTGCAATATATAGGAACTTTCATTGTGTAAATGCAATTCCATTGTAGTGTTATATACTCCATCCCTACAGTCATTACTTAGGCAAACTATTTCTTACATTATTGCCATGGAAACGTTATTACTGCTGAAAATATTTTCTCCTAATATATACGGTATATACGGTATATATGGAACGAACTTTAAGCGGCGGAGCGGTTGTGGTAGCATTTATCGAAACTTTTCTTATTAAGAAAGTAATTAACGACAATCAGTAAATATTGATAGATTTCCCACATATAAAATAAGCTTATATTATTAGAGACGTATGTATAAATCTTCAGATGTAAAAATATTATCAAGAGAAATCCTGTGTTTAGCTTCTATTATATAATATAGAGTAAGTTCCTTAAGATTCAAGTATTAATTTGAATATTTCCAAAAGTTTCAAAGCTTATCTTTAGTTACACCATAGTACAAATTATGCTCTTGTCATATAAATAAATAACACGATTGCTGCATCTCAATAAAAATTCAGAGATTGAAGATTTTAAAACTGATGATAGAAGTTTTATAAAAATCGACACATGAATAATTCTTCAATGTAAAAAATATATTTTTCAATAAATTTGTAGCTAATTGAAGCAATCTATAATAACTAGTTGAGAAATAATGTACTTTCTTGTGGATTATTTAATCTATCCATATTAAAAAATGCGACTACTGTATGTGCTACCAAATACCTGCTGCGTCGCTGTTAAATCATAATCTATTAATTGATATTTTTATGCGCAATATATAGATATAAAAAAGATTTGCTAAGTGTAACTGCTGGATATCCAATGTAATAATGGATACTGTATCCATTCCCTAACTATTCCCTCTAAATTATAAAACCCCTCCCTGAGGATCATGAATATCCAGCAGTTGGGCAAAAATGCTATCTACTAGTCTAATAGTAATGGTTAGCCTATTTCAATCATTTCTGCATCTTCCACGTTGTTGTGACCAACTACATTGTACCTAGAAAATTATCGTCATTCTCTTTTTAACTCGATAATTTTATAATATGAAATCATACACTATAAAAGAATTAATTTAAAAACAGAATTTGTAACTTTTTTATTCTTACGTGTGATTTGGTAAATGGGTATTGTGAAAATGGAGATGCGTCGTTCGAGGTGAAAAACCGCGAGTAGCTTTGCGAGGACTTCTAGCTTTTATGACTCGTGGTGATGACATGGTACTTAGATAGGGTTGTTGAAGAAATAAATCTTCCATTATACTTGGTGCTACATATGTAAATCCCTGAAGAAAGTTATATTATTAAGAAATGCTATCAGATACATCATGACTTATTAACACACTTGCCTATTTCAACTAATATATTAACTTTGAATATTTTTCTAGTTTTAAGAATTAGAGAAAGAGATGAAGAGTATGTTGAATCAAAATTTAAGTTAATCCACTTCAGTGAAAACAAGTATTAAACACATATATGTATAGCGATTTTGTCAAGTCCTATGAGAGAGAGAAAAATATACTTTCTTTCTGTATATATATATATATACTATTTCATTCTACAATCTTAAAGCCATGAAATGAGACAGTATAAGTTAAAATGAGTATATGTATGTGTATATTTTATATATATGTGTATGTATATAGAGAAGTATACATAACTTTCTCACAGGACTTTGACAGAATCGCTTGTAGCCATACTTTGTTATAGAATGTTTATGTCCTTAGACATTCAAATTAAGAAAGAAAACTCACCTGAAATAGCCCATCAGCTGACTCGCTCAAAGTGTAATCTACTGGGGAGTCTATTGGTGCTGAAGTAGTAAATTTCTTATCAAATTGTGATACATCTTCTTTGCTAGACAATTTTGGTCTAAAAGGAGGTTTTAACTGTCGAGATATAACGTCGGTCCAATTGATATGTTTGAAGAATTTATGTGCCTTTACTTCTTCACCATCCGACTGAATAGATCCCAATCTTTGCGCAACTTGTCTCTATATAGAAGAAAATTACTTTAAATGTTATAATAAATTTTTCTCAAAATAACATCACTTTTGAGATAAGAATATTATCGGCAAGATTAATTTATGAACATTAACCTTCAATAATTTCCGAATAAGATCTTTAGCATCGGCAGTTAAATATGCTGGGAGAGATAATTTGCCACGTAGAATTCTGTCGATAGTTCTCTTCCTGCTATTTGAGCTAAATGGTGGCTAAAAATTTAGCAAATAGTAATGTGAATTAATATACGCATTCTTTGAGCTCGTATCACAAACGGTACGATATAGTTCATACGTAATGACAATACATACTGCTCCTGTAAGCATATCATACGTCAAACTTCCCAAACTCCACCAATCTACTGCTTTCCCATGTCCACTTCTCGTTAAAATCTCAGGTGCCCTTTAATAAAATAGTACAACAATTAATATAAATTATAATTATAAAATTAGCAATCTTAGGCCCAGTTGCATCAATGTCACTTTGACTTTAAGCGAGACTTAAAACTCTATTTGTCTCGTCTTAAAGCTAAAAAGACAGAGGCAGAAAGAGTTTTAAGCCTCACTTAAAATCAAAGTAACGTTGGTGCGATCGGCACTTAGCAATTTATATTCTATGATATTTACATGTATTCGATAGTTCCACAAAATGTATGCGTAAGAGCACCCTCTTGTATATGCTCTTTACATAATCCAAAATCAGTCAACTTAATATGCCCATCTGCATCCAATAAAATATTTTCTGGTTTCAAATCTCTGAAACAATTCATTACAAGCGTCATAAACTGAATGCCGCATACAAACGAAATATTTAACATATATCAATTATATTGAAGTCTTAAATTATATTTTAATTCTTAATGTAGAGAACTTATAAAGAAAAATATAATACCTGTATATAATTCCTTGCAAGTGAAGATGTTGTAGAGCTAACGTAATTTCGCATAAATAAAAACTGCAAAACGATTAACATGATATAGAATGCTTTGAAAAATATAATTGAAGATATTTTCATGATTCACTCACCGCGCAGTATCTTCCATGAAAATTCCTTCGTCATTTAAATGATGGAACAATTCACCACCGCACATATATTCCAATATCAAATATAATTTGTGACCAGTTTGGAAGGCATACTTGAGATCTACGATAAAAGGATGCTGCCAGATGCAAGCATAAATAAATGAATTGATATTTTGTTCAAAATATGGTATAGATAGAAGAAAATAGAGCGTTAGCTTTCAATGAAACATGTTAAAAAATCGGGAATTATAAGTATCTTTTTTATACGTACTATTAAGATTATATACGTATATATATATTAACCATTTGTTGAATTCTAACTACTGCAAATTTTTTAGCGTATACGAATATAACTAACCTTTATGGATTCCAAGATGTTTCTTTCAGCTCTAGTGTGAGCTGTATCTTTCTGATTTCTTACAATCAAAGCCTTGCGCAATACCTGTTTCGAACAAGACAAAAGAATATGTTGAACGATTGAAGAAAAGAGTGTTATAAATAAAAACGTTTGTCAGCGGGGGATAATACAAAAATAGATACTGATTACAGAATTTATAATTACCATTCTAGAGATAAAACTGCAAAAACTACTTACTTTTAATTCACAATAATTGAAGTAAAATTGCTAGCAAACAAAATAATTAAAATAAACTCATGTAAATTTCTTGTTGACAAAACTTGTGTAATTTTTTTATCACAAAATATTTATTGATCAAGAAAAACATGAATTGCAAATCAAATAATAAAGGAAGATGAAATAATATGGGCCAGACTAAATCTTGATATCTATGGTCTGTTTTCTGTTCCTGTACTAAGCTGTTCTAGAACTCTCTTTCTCGCTTTAAACAAATATCAAATGTGTATCTATCTCACTTTAAGTTCCAAAAGTGTACACTAGTTCAGCCACAAAAAGCAGACCTCTATACTTGATATATAATATTTATAAAAATTTGAAATACAATTACATGAACTGCATATTGTTTATTATAGAAAATGCAATCATAAAAAATAAAATGCATAGCATAGCATAATTTTTGCGCGTTAGTATGTGAACAGTGAGATAATATTCTTAGATTACCAATTATATTATTGTAATCATCCTTCATCGAAAGTATTTTTCACACATTGCTTATTTAGCAAACATGACACATTTACATAAAAAATTACTTTATAAGCTTACGCAATAATTGTGTTACAAGGATTTCGGTACCTTCATAGCGAAGATTGTGCCGGTGTCGTTTCCCGTTATTTTGCGCACTTGAAACACCTTGCCGTAGCCGCCTTTTCCAATAACTTTGCACAATTCAAAGTCCTGCGGTCCGACCTTCTCGTGCGTGCGATTGACATTATGCTCCGATATCGCCACCGTCTCCACTACGTCAGACGAGCTGGAAGCGATAAGTAAAAGAATTTTAAGAATTTCTTAGCATTGACAAGAATGGTGGTCCGTCCCAAATTTTGCAAGACATCTCGATTTTCGGGTCTCCAAGTATAGAAGCATCTCGAAAGAACGCCATTTATCCCGATTTATCACATAACGTAAATTAACAAGAAATTCATGAAATAACAGAGATCCAGTCATTCCGATGTTTTAAAGTTGATATCCCGAAATTGACTGATCAATTCTTGATCAGTCAAATAGATCGAAATGATAAGCGGGCGGACGCGTGGCACGATCGAAACACGCGCGCAGAGGTCCTATCAGGTCCTACTCACCTTACGATCTCATGCTCGGTCAGCGTGACGCATTCCTCCTGCGAAAAGGAAAACAGATGCGGCGTTAGAATGACGGTTGACACGGTACACACGTGCCGCTGTCGCGGGCGCGACGCGGATATCGGGATTCCCATTCCTATCGGGAGATAAAGGAGGGCGGGGAAGCCTTTTACAAGTAATTACCGCGTCGATCTCGATGATGTCGTCGTCCTCCGACTCGTCCCTGTGCGGCAGTCCTGCATCCTGCAGCTCGATATCAAATATCGCGGACATCGTGGTCGCCTACAGTCGCCGTCGCTGTTCACTTACACGAGCTGGGGAGATGGGTAATTCAGGCGCGCCGGATCACTCTTGCGTCTCCTCTCGCGCGGGATGTCAACACATAGAATCTGGCACTTCTGGCAGTCCTGGCTGGCGCGCCGTCGGCCGTACGCGAAAGCAGCAGGCCGCCCAGCAGGCACGAGCGGGGTACGCGGAGTCGCACCACTCGGTAGTCGGTTCGAGACTCGCCTGGCCTGGCCTGGCCACTCGGTCGCCGTCGCAGATGGTCGCGGAGTGACGACGAGCGATGACGGGAACTCAATTCGTGGAACGAACCGAATCACTCCGGTCCCTCCTGTCGCAACCACGCCGACTGCCCGTGGAGAGGGGAATGTGAGCTTCTCAGCCAATCGCCTCGCGCGTCGCCGATCCCACGCACCAACCATCAACCTTCCACGCGCCGGATTTGAATCGAGCATTCGAACGTTTCAAATCTAGATCTGTTTCCTGTGGCTGAACTAGTGTACACTTTTGAAACTTAAAGTGAGATAGATGTACGTTTAGACATTTGTTTAAAGCGAGAAAGAGAATTCTAGAACAGTCTAGTGCAGGAACAGAAAACAGACCACTAATTCCAGGTAGTCAATTTTGGGTACTTTCCGTTAATTTAGACAATGATCGCACCAACGTTACTTTATCTTCAAGTCAGGCTTAAAACTCTCTTCTCTCTCTCTCTCTCTCGCTCGCTCGCTCTCTCGGGTTTATAGAGAGAGAGAGAGGGGGAGTTCCGAGATTCGCTTAAAGTCAAAGTTAGTGCAATCGGATTCTAGTGATACAAGTCGACACAAACATCATTCTATCATTCTTGACATTCAATGAGTAACAAACAAAAAACAGAACGACACTTGTGTCGACTTGAAATAGGAAGCATTCTATATGTATTTTGAAACGAGACGAAAATTACAAAAGCGAGCGAATATTTTTTTTACTAGAATATTTATAATTTCATTGCTCAATATAATAAATTTATTCACTTTTTTGTTAATAAATTTAACTCATTTTCTGCACGTTTTAAGATACACAATCAACCCCAGTCCAGATAACACAACTGATCCATTTAAACTTGAAAAATATTCCATCTTTTTTAATTCGCTTTATGAATTAACGCAATCTGTTCGAAATAAACTCAAAAAGAAATATACATATATAGAAATATATTTATATGCATATTTGTAGATATGCTATCTTTAATAAAAATAATAATTTAATTTGCGCAAAAACCAAAGTTATAATTTACTTTTATATAAAATCAAAAAATAGAAAAAGTTTAAAAAAAGAATATACCTTTTGAATCTAAAAAGAATTCACAATTGGTGACGTGTGATAGTGAAATTTTTCAGGCTCCTTGTGGATATATATTCTTTTATTCCTGAATTTCTTTCTTGGTTCATTTTTTCGCTTTCTCTTTTCACATTGAAGAGATTTAGAGAAAAGAAACCATACAGGCTCAGCTGGCGAGAATAAAATAATACCAATAAAAACGATTTTTTTTATTCCAAACGAATAAGTCTAAATATTGTCCGAACAATTTGTTTCCATAATAAATAATATACACGGAAAAAGAAAGTTTTATAATAATTGACAAGCAGCAATTGTTCTCGCAGTCTTTATCTTTTGAATCTTTTGAAGGTACTCACATCGTAAATCTTTGCGTCAATTATATTAATGTATACAATTACAAAGAAAACATTTGTTGCTTTGAAAACCGATTTTTATCTCTTTCTAAAAGAAGAATGCCTGTCGAATCTTCATTACAAGATCATTGTTTAGACCATTTCGAGCATTATTTTTCTCATTCTTTGTTCCCGGGAGCTGCTATTAAATTCTCGGAACGCAAATGTCGCAAATGCGTCATACGTTCGAATGGATCCTCATCACAATGAGATGGTATACCTATATAGATCGCGCGCTTACGAATTGTGCAATTTTACGAAATCGCATCCGAACGGAAAATCATTGCATAAAGGGAATTGTCAATATGACTTATACGATATATATAAATCATATTGACAATTCCCTTATTAAGCAATGATTTTCCGTTCGGATACGATTTCATACAATTGCACAATTATATGTATATATATATATACATATATATATATATATATAACTGTGCAATTGTATATATATATATACTGATATAATTCGTTGATTACTTATCGGTGTCGTTATCGCGCTGAACAATGTAAATAAACGTAGATAAATGTAGATAACATAAGCGGATAATTAAGTGTCCTCCTACAGGCGATAGAATTTCATACGTTTGCCGTTCGTCCGTCCGTATTCGTAACAGACGCGAGCGCCGGACTCTGTTCGCTCATATTCACCAAAAATGGTCCCATCAATGGAACGTCGGTACGTGCAAGGATACGAGAAGTTTCTTGAGGTTACAAACTTAGGAAGTATTCAAGAACATCCGGATTACGTTCTGTTCACCGGTACAAAGCTGCCGGACACCGGCAAGAGTTGGTGCTCGGATTGCGTAGAAGGTGAGCGAATCTTTCTTTTTTTTTTTTCGTGTCGACATAACCTAACTCTCGAGTATTATCTGGTATTAGGGTAAAGTAGGGTAATTGTGCGCGGTGGGTAATTGTGTGCCAATTTCCGTGATCGGAAGATGTTGTTTATTACAATAACGTCTTGCGGAAAAAAAGTAACATCATATCCCAGTGTAGCACTGATGGCTGAAGATTAAAATAATCAACTTGAAAGAAAAACACATCTTTTGTTATAATATTGGTACTCACGAAAATAAGACGGTAAGTTCGTAATTTTTGAGGTTTTGTTTCTACTAAAATGTATGTACAGTGAGATTATCGCTTTATGGATTAACTTATAGGTTAAGAAGGTTATTCATTAGTTTTAATGTTATTTCGATGTTTATTGAATATGGACCTGTGTGGGGTAATTCTGCGCACGTGTCTAAAATGCGCATAATTATCCCACTCGCATTCATATGACAAGAAATAATACCTGTTTTTTTTCCGTTTTCACATAAATAATATTGAAATACATAACTTTATATTCAGGTAATAACATCACCTACTTACTGTGATGGCAAAGTTTTCGTGTAACAATACAAGTTTATATCCTCACTTTTAATGTGAGTTAAGAAGATTCACAATACACGATCTCGAGCTTGTGCAAATAGTAGGTAAAAATTTGATTGAATCTCACTTGTCAGAATAAAAAGAAACTTGCATTTAACTAAGTTACATCACAAATGAGAATTATCTAAGTTTAGTGTAAATAAATGAAAAGCAGCTATAGTTTAATTTTTTTTCAGATGCCTCGTTATTATAAAAGAACATCAGATAAGAATAATTGGACTGAGGGGACCTTAAAATCAGCGATTTATGCTGTGAAAGTCAATGGGATGAAAATCAGAGCTGCTGGGCGAAAATTCAATATTTCGGAATCAACTCTTAGAAAGCGATTGAAAGAAAGTTCGACAAGCCATGTGCCGTTGGGTCGAAAGCCAACATTCACGGTTGATGAGGAGAAAGAATTGACAAATCATATCTTGAACCTAGCAAAACTATTTTATGGACTTACTTCACATCAACTTCGTAGAATTGCTTTCGACTTTGCTGAGGCAAAACATGTTAATCATACGTTTAACAAAACGATTCAACTGGCTGGCAAAGATTGGCTATATCAGTTTCTTCAGCGTAACTCGGAAATAAAGTTAAGACAACCAAAAGGGACGAGTCTTAACAGAATTAATGCATTTAATAAAGAAGAAATTACTCGATTTTTTTCCAATTTACAAGAAGTCATGGAAAAGTATAGATTTCCTCCAAATAGAATCTTTAACATGGATAAGATGTGCATTACATTGATTAAAAAAAAATGTCCAAAAATATATGGCGCAAAAGGGATAGAGAGAATTGGAACAGCAACATCAGGTGAAAGGAGACGAACCGTTACAACAGTATTTTGCATGAATGCATCTGGAACATACATACCTCCAATGATAATTTATCCGAGAGCGCGAATGAATACGCAGCTACAAAAGAATGGGCCTATTGGAGCGATTTATGCCTGTTCTAAAAATGGATGGATAAATAAGGGATTGTACTTGGATTGGTTACATCATTTTAAGAGCTATGTTAAACCAACTTGCGAAGACCCCGTACTTCTGATAATTGATAATCATACAAGCTACATTTCACTTGACGCTTTTGATTTATGTAAATCTGGTTTTATTACTGTACTTTCTTTCCCCCCTCACACATCTCATCGAATTCAACCTTTAGACTTGACATTTTTTGGCCCGTTGAAGAACGCTTTATATAGAGAATATGATTTATATTTAAAATTAACTGATCATAAAAAAATAACCGAATATAATCTTGCAGAGTTGTTAAATAAGGCCTTTTTAAAAGTAGCTTCTATGAAGGAAGGCATCTCTGGCTTTCGTACAGCAGGTATTTACCCTCTAAACCCTGATAGGTTTGACGAAAATGATTTTGCTCCATCAGTTGCTCGAGAAGGACCTCTTACTGAAGTCGTCTTTGATAATCAAAATTCAAATTCCATTGAAACTATCAGTAATATAGATAATTTACCTGATTCTTACAACAATGAGTCAGAGGCAAATCCAATATCAAAACCTAGTACTTCAAAGACTCCTGATCAGTTCAAAATTACTGTTATTTCATCGATTTCTTCAAGCAAACCTCATGTGGCAACGTGATTCTCATTCAGAAATTTTAACTGCCTCAAAAGTAAAAATTACAAGACAAATTGGAAGAATAGAAAAAGGCCGAAGAAAAGAAGAAGCAGAATACCATAAAAGCAATTACAAAGAAAGCTAAAAAACGTAAAATGTAAACAGAAAAATATTTTTGTAATCATATTTTTAAGAAATTTTGTCGTTTTAACATTTTAAAACTTTTTTATTTTATTTTAATAATTGAATCTTTGTTTATGTTATTAAGAATCCATTAATATAAACATTTATGCAATAAATACAAAACAAGAGTAAAGAATCGGGGGTGAGTAATATAAAAAATGTTAAGCGATTTTTGCTTAACATTATCCTTTCTTTGTTTTTACTTTTATTTGTATAAAATCATGTTTGTAAAATATTAAAAATTACCCATTAACCTTTTTGTCAATATTAAATAAATTAAAATGTTTATATCTAGATGATATCTAATAATTTTAGCACATTATTGCCCGATTTATGCGCACAATTATCCAGCGAGGAGAATGTGCGTATTTGCCTCATGTCACTTATCATTTTATTAATCTGTAATCTACTATATTAAGTAACAATTTGAGGTTATAAAAGTAGACTAATGAGGCTCCTTCTCCCCGAAATCCCGATTTCCCAACTACATTCCATTCGTTGTAATATTAGTTCCCACTAAGATGCGCACAATTCCTCCATTTTCTCCTATCTCTTTGGATAGCCAGAGCTGTTGGAGGCGAATTTTGCAAAATATCGTAAATTTTATCGACAGCCTGAACGGCGGAATGACGTCAAAAGACATGATGACGTCTAGTAGGTCAAAATAGACATATTGTAAATTTTCTCGACAGCCTGAACGGCGGAATGACGTCAAAAGACATGATGACGTCTAGTAGGTCAAAATAGACGTCACTGTTTGAACGTCATTAAATATTGATCAGAGTTAGTGCTTCTATAGTTATTATTACTGACGCAAGAAGTGTAATGCGTCATGTATATAAGCGTTAGTGAATTAAATTTTAAAACACCTATTGTTTTAGAGCCGGATTAAACTAGTGTTTATATGACATCGTTTATTTGATTAGCGTTTGTATATTTTACATCGGATAATACTTATATGGATATTATTAAACTTGATTAATAGTGATGTCTAAACGTAATTACTGACGTCTAGTAGGCTAAAGTAGACATCATTACGTCGTATCTTGATGTCAGTCTATTTAGGAGAATGTTAGCAAAAATATGACAAAAAATGATTTTCATTTAATGGCATAAATCGACACAAACATTGTTTTATTTTTCTTAACATTTAGAGAGTAATAAAGAGAGAAAAATATTTGTATTGACTTGTGTGCGGTGAAATAGAAAGCATCCAATGTCGACTTTCACCGCAGAAATGAAAAAAGTCTTATACATTTATATTCAAATATATCCAAATGTAATTTTGAAATTTTTTGTCGAAGTATCACTTCTAGAAAATTAAATAATAATGAAATGCAAAAATTTAATATTTGTGAAATGATATAAAACTACACAGTCGGAACACAGCATTTTTACTGTGTATAATCGTGTTGACTCGTGTTATAGTTGGAAAATACAGAATCATACACTACGTTTCACATTGTCGCCTGTATACGTTACTGGAAAGCATTCAAAATCTGTCAATATATTATGATAGATTAACTGCGGAATTCTCTCAAGCAGAATTTGCTATCTCTTAATATTATCTGAATTATATTTTCCATTGACCACTGCATGTTCTAAAACTAAGTTCAATATTATGGCCAGATTTCTAAAATACAGGAAATATAATAGGAAATGATACGATTGTAATAATGAAACGATGCATAAGATATCTATTTCCGTAAATAAAAAAACTTTATCAGTTACCTGGATTCTATAACGATTTTGTACTAATGTTTGTACTATTCATCATTTAGAAATATCAAAGTACAAATATGAGATTAAGAAATTTAGTTGAGAGAACTGTTTAAAATATTTTATTAAATATTATATTTTTGTGTTAATTAGTTTTAAATTCTTAATTACTTTTATGTATATAATACTAAAAAGGAGAAAATACAAATATGCATTAATGTTGATACAATTGGTTTTGAGTGCATTTACTTAGAATTTTTCATTTTCTTTCAGCTGAACCATTTATTGAAGCTGGTTTCGCAGATGCTCCTCAGGATACAGTATTACTAATAGTAGAGGTCGGGGACAGAGCGTTGTAAGTATATAAAATATTCATACTATTGTAATTGCTATTTTTATATGAATTATCATGAGCATATATTATGTAATAATTGTTATTTAATAACGTAAAATAACATGTAACGTATATGTATAGATGTCATTTTAATTAGTGCAGGAAAACGTTTCAAATTGAAATTGTATGATCTAAAAGGAAATAAAATAACAAAATCTATTTTTTTTTCAAGTCGTATTTTTATGGCCACGACCAAAGTTATAACTATTTTTTAAATGGAATTATATGATTATTTTACACATATGGATTCCTCTATATTTTTATATGCAGAATAATTAGAAGAATCATTATGAAGAAAAAATCATACAATTTTATTTTAAAAAAGTGATTTCATATGACCTATGTGAAAAAACGACTTTCTTGAAAATTTTATTATTGTTTGTCATCCTTTAGCTCATAAAATTTTCGTCTGAAACGTTTCTCCGTATCTTTCATACTTTTCGAGATATTTACTTGCGACAATATATTAAGATAAAATACATCGTATAATATAAAAAAGGAAGTTTTAAAATATCTTTTATACACTTTCCTAGCTGGAAAGATCCAAATTGTCCATTTAGGACAGACCGTTGTACCAGGTTGAAGGTCTTGCCGACTTTAGTTAAATGGAGGACTGAGAAACGTTTAGAGGGTGATCAGTTACTGAATCCTGAACTTATCGAAATGTTACTGTCAGATGTAGATACAGACTAAAAATATTTGTAATATATATATTTCTACATTTTTTTTATAAAAAATACATATTGAATTATAAAAATGTACATAAATTACATTTTCACGTACGATCATATTGTATATTCATTCTTTTTTATAATCATCATCCTTTTTACCCTACTTTGAAAAAAGATATCGGGAATACAAATAAAGATTACTTAAATTTAACTGATAGGAATTACTTAAATTTAACTGATAGGAATTACTTAAATTTAACTAATATTTATTCTTTATGCATTTGTATGCATATATGCTATAATTATATTGTAATAATCTACAATCTTTTGAGCAATAAAGTAAGAAAGAGAAATATCAAATAAACAATCAATTAGAATACTACTGTAAAATCTATAAATTACAAAGAATTTACTTTATATCTATATTTACTATAAAATTGTAATGTAATATCCTTCCGAAATTTTAGCTTGATCTGTTACAAGTATGAAATACGAAAAATTAATATAATTGTAAAGTTCCTAAAAGGATCCATTTTATTACATAATTGGTGTCTCTGATGCTGGTGGTAACATACGTACGGAATAATGAACCTTCTTATTCCTTAGAATACTGTAGGTATTGTCGAAAACGACGTAATCTGAAATAAAATTTAAACAATAAGAATCTTATTGGACCGTATTTGTGAATAAAATTTAGATAACAATGTCATTATTTGTAGAATGCTGCTCAAACAATATAGGCTTACAAGTCGTCAGAGTTTCGCAAGTTAATAATCCAATTTCATCCGATTGATGAGACGCAACCCTCCGAATAGGTATAACTTCTATTTTCTTTCCATTAGTCATGTCTTTTTTCAGAATTCCAAATTTGATGTCATGACCTTCACTTCGAAATTCCCAACTGAATACAAGAATATGAATTGAAAGAAAGAGACTTTTTCTTCCGACATATTTATTGTAAAATATTTACCTTAAGATGGAACCCTCTTCGGGTACAGAAATATCGAATTCTAACTTTCCTCCTTTTCGAACGACGACGGTAGTATAATCCTCGTTTAGCTTATCCATATTGTTGATGTACATCTCTTTAGGTATCTTACCACCTTGGCAGATCTAACAACATTTTAATTATTATTTTTCGAAATAGTATAGTTGAAATTCGTTTTACATTTAAGGCTCCTGTCTACTCACTATAACTTAGACCATAACGTCAAAAGTGAGAAAAATACATAAAGAAAACTCTTGCAAACTATATTAAAATGTATTTTTACATATATTTTAAAAGAATTTCATTATGTGGTTTCTCGCTTTTGATGTCATCAATCTGAAGATCCGTGATGAATGGTCGAAAGCCTTAAAGAAAACCAAGTATTATCTTAAAAAACGAATAAATGCATCTTATAAAGTAAGATACAAAAGTTTACAACAAAAAGCCGAATTCTTCCATGAGATTTACAGTTTTTTTTAAATGAAAATTTATGAAGAAAGGTATTAATTTCAAATACTATATTAACATTTAAATTAAGAAGTAATTAAACTTATTACAAAACTTCACATATTCTATCGAAGTTTTTATTTCAACGGCTATTTCGTGTTGTGTGTGTAATTTTGTGAAAGGGATTTAATTAAAATACTTTTGAAGTGTATTTCGGGTTGCCATCTGGATCTGTTAGTATTCCACCATAATGGGCAGGTAGTTGATCCTTCGGTATGAGTTTAAAAAGTGCTGCTTTCCATTTCGACGGCTCGGCTTTGTAGATTTGTATTTTTGACAAAGTATAGTCGTCCATAAATTTCTTAATAATTGTAAAAGCGAAAGCAAAGACTCTTGGAGCTGCAACAATGCATACACTAATAGGTTTTTTTCTGTGTTTCTAAAAATCTTCTAAATAAGCCAATTGTAAGCAATTCATTCCTCTTCCAAATCAAATAGTTTGAATGGCTTGAAAACTAATCGCTATTATCTGCTATTATCCTGAACAAAATTCATGAAGAATTATTTCAAAAAAGTTGTTTACAGGCTTCTGTGAACTTTCACATAATAATAATAATAATAATAATTTTTTTCTTACATGTATATGCTAACTTATTGTCAAACGATTCAGCATATCATTTTTAACGAAATTCGGAAAAATTATAAAATAAGGGAATAATAAGAAGAAATAAATGAATAAAGGATTAATATTTCATATTGGCCCGTATTCATAGTCAGGTCTTACATTTAAGGCTTCCTTAAATTTATCTTTAGATGCTTTACGAATTATTTCATTAGCTACTGAGCATCTAAAGATAAATTTAAGGAAGTCCTAAGTATGAGGTCTAACTATGAATACAGGCAATTGAATCGGTCATCGCAGATAATAGCGATTAGTTTTCAAGCCATTCAAACTATTTGATTTGGAAGAGGAATGAAATTGTAAAAATTTCTAAAATTATCTAAAATTAATACGCATCTTGAAAAATGTATATTAATGGACACAACATGAAACAACGTTAAACATATTTTTCATATTTTATAAGCAGTCTTTTTTAAAAAGAAATAAACAAATTTAATAATAAAAGAAATTTCAATTACAAACAAAAAAGAAAATTAATAATGAGCAATAATGCGACGCAGTTATTAGTGCATATAATATATATCTGTTGTTTTACTTTGAAGATGATCTGAAGTGGAACCAACGTCTGTCACTTCAATTATGATTTATGTACACTCATCAACTAAAAGATTGCAACAGATTTTTTTCTATGGTTTTTGGAATACAGCCTACTCACGATTAGTTTTTACTTACGGATCCATAAGTAAGAACCAATCGCTTGGTGAGCAGACTGTATTCCGAAACTCATTAAAAAAAAAGGTTGCAACCTTTTAGTCGGTGAGTGTATACCCAAGGACTTCGATTCTTTCCCTTGAAAATTTTCGCAAATTGAAAAATGACCATTTTTCTACATTAATGCTCATAGTCCGTGCGTGATAAACGACACGACTAAACCTTACGTCCGCTTATAACTAAATTTGACGTAAAAATGAAATAATTTGAATTTTTGAAAGTTTTAAAAAAATAATCGAGGGAAAGAATTTAAGTCCTTGCGTGTACATTAAGAGCAAAGCAATTAAAGAATACTACACATATTATTTACGCATTAACAATCGCGTTGCACTCTCATTGTATTTTATTAATTTTCTTTTCAGTTCTCTTTAAACAGACAGTATATCAAAGAATATTCATTTTATTTTAAGCAGTAACATCTAAATAAAATCGTGCTGGTGTGGATTGCGATTATTATATTTTATTAAACTTACCGTTGATCAGGAAGCACATCTTTAGAATTTCCGGATAGTTCGCCTCGTACATTTGGACGAAGGTGATAACAAGTTCGCCAGCTACACCGATAAAATAATAATAGAAAAAAAATAACAGAATATCTTAAGAAGAATTTATTAATATTTTTACCTGGTTTCCACAAATACTGTTTAAGATTAAATCCTTCCATGTCGAAAATAACGGTCACTTGATTAGCGGCATGTCCATGCTTCTTGGATTGCTCCTTGGCTAAGTTCAAATAACCATCTAACAATTTTATCATAAGTTTGATGAATTCCTTTTGTGTTATTACATGTAATGCTCCGTACATGTCCATACCGACAAATGGTACGATGATCACTGTAAAAATTATATCCATATCCATATATAATTATCCATATACGATAAAAAATAATATAAATTTTTAAAAAAGGATAAGCAGAGCATTTCTCTCCGATCTTAAATCAATTTTCATAATTTTTTTATGATTGTAAGTTTTTTTGCTTTATTTATTATACCTTCTCTATTTTCTATACTTATAATATAAAAATAAACGTTTAATATTCAGTGCGATAAAAAAAAATTCGGCACAATTAAATGATAATCTTTTTGTCGATTCCAGATTTATAAACATGCAGAAATAAAGTTTGAATAAAAATTACTTTTACTGCCAACAGACAAAATTTGTTCGATGCAATTAAATTTTAAGAATTTTTGATAGTATTGTGTAGTCTCAAATAACAAAATGACTTTTTCAGTTAGAAAACACTCGAACACTTCTAGTGTTAAAAAACGATATTTATCACCATGAAAGAGAAAGTAAAAGAGAGAATCAAAAGGATTAATTAAAAAAGATGTTATGCTTTGAAGTAATCGTAATCATGGTCTTCATATGTTAGATATATTTTTTGTAAAGGAAAAGTATCCCTGAGAGTTGAATGAACTTGATCGAGTTATCAAAATATTGAAATCTGTATTTCAGGTCTTAAAATATGTTATATTTATTGTTTTTTTTTTTATAAGAAAAAACAATATCCCGAAAGAAGATTTTTATTTCTGTTGTATAATTTTCATATTATATATATTTATATGTGTGATTTATAAAGATATATATATATATATATATATATCATATCTTTTTATAAAATGACATTGTACACTCAAACTTTCACTGTAATTATATCGACATCATATTGAAGTTTGCTTATTTAATATAATACATACTTTGCAATTGTTATTATTCTCCAATTTTTCTTATAATAACATTTTATAATATTTTGAATAATTCGCAAGGTTGATCAAGTTACTTTTTACAAGTTACTTATAAGAGTTACTTTTTATTATAGAAATTAAATATAGTAAATATGGGTATTTTATTTGTTATATTCTATTTTTTGTACTATATTTTATCATTTAGTCTAATTTTGTATTACTTTTTGCATTACTATTTCTATTACTTAATTTCTATAACAAACATATAAAGAATAATATAAACACATAAGGTAAAACCTTAAAAAGTAACTTATAAAGTAACTTTCCAAACCTTGATAATTTGAGTGTGTTTTTCTCACTTATTTAATATATATCTGTTTTTTTTTTTTATAATACTGATAGGAATTGACATTATATATCGTTTCAATTCATGATGCTATAAACGCCATTTATGATGCTATAAACGTAAAAAGTTGAAAGCAGATTTATGATTCAAAGATTGATTATACTGACTATAACAAAAGAGACTTTACCTGGTGCCCCATCTTTGTCGAATCCACTTAATCCGTAAGGCAGGTATGGTTTTATTATTTCAGGAATTTCCCATTTGTCCAAATTGTCAGCATCCCATTGTTTTCGCCATTCTAGCGACTATAAATAAATATTTTTCTTCATTACATTATTGCAGAATATTGTGTCGTATATTATCAAAATTATCAATGTTTTTGGTATGTATTTCTGAGTATTCTGATATTACACTTATAAACACGTGACTTGTTATACTGTATTTTTATTGTTTCGAATATTTTACAATAACATTTATAATGTGTGAATATACCTATGCTGTCATTTTTATTTTAATTAAATTTAAATAAATCTTAATAAATTTAATCAAAAGATTTTTCCACCACTCTTATTTTTTGTGTAATAGCGCAAAATTAAAAAGTGTAAATATTATACACACGTAATGTTTGTATCATAATACAATATGAAATATTTCCATATGAAATCTTTTTCTTTATAACATTAAGAAAAATACGTACTTATATCATATTGTTGTAAAAGTTAAATTTCTTTCATGAAAAAACGATAATAGATTAATTAGATTATCCTATAAATATATCCATTTATTGCTTGACTTACTCAAAACAGATGTAGATGACAGAAAAAAGTCATGTTGCAGTTTAAATAAATTGGCGGTATAAATAAAAAAAAGTGAAATTTTTTAAAATTATAATTTTGTTTTTTAAATTATAACTGTAACACATTCGAAATTCTTAGATTACTGTAATGTAAGTAGGTTAAAACATATTTAAATTTATCGTAAAAATTATGCATTAATATCTTTTAGTATAAAATTATTGAATTAAAAAATTATATGTAAAAAATATCATGTATTTAATTCACCTAAATATTACGTTTGTAACAAAAATTCAAAATGATTCTATCGTTCTGTGCTATTCTTCCGTGTAATATTGTGTAAAAGAATACGGCTTGTAGGTTTATATGTTACGGTGTAACACGTACCGTTGGAACGTCTTTAGTCGGTGCTAAGACATACGAAGATATACTGAAGAAAGAAATATTTCTCATAATTTACAGTAGATGGTTTCAGGAATAACGGGGTTTCACGCGGAATAGAAAGTGGAAAAAAGATAATTTCCTGAAGAAATTACTTTGGAACCAAGTATCATAGATCCTCGGTTTTCAATCATTATGAAACTTCTCAGCGCAAGAATACGGATGGTGACTTCGCGAACGTACTTCAAAGAATTGGCACATTACTTTCGACTTACAAAATGGCATGTACAGAGAACAACTTTCTATTTCATAAAACATCTACGAGAACAAAAAAGCGACACTGTTGACAGCAAATCTTCAACATCCGATATGAACCCGGAAGGATACTTTCTTTAATTTATTCGCGATAGAATTAACTGTGATTACTTTGAATGATGTTAGCATTTATTTGATCGTTACTTACATAAAAAGATTGTTTCATAAAATTATCGTCTTGACATTAACAAATGATATAAAACATTAAATCTATTATGTTTGCTACACGGAGAGAATTTTTTCTTAGAATTTACCCTGAAAATATGACAATCGTGGGACAACATTGTATTTCCAAGAATTTTAATATAAATCTCTCTCATTCATTAATAAAACTACAATAAAGTATAAAATAAGTTTGATCAATTTTACTGAAGTGCATGGTAAAACATATTAAATTTATTATATATATGTATAATATTATTGAACATATATATTATACATTAATAAATCTTTTTATTATTATTAAATCAAAGAATATTTATAAAAAATAATTTAAAATTTACATTTATCTGTCTATCTTTGTTTAATTTATGATGTGAGTAACGTTTCTATCAGACGAGTTGGATTGGCAATGAGGTGACATACATCTTGACATTCTTGACCGTCATTCATTTCTAATCAAGATAGAACTCACAAAAAATAGATGAAGATTTCTTATCAAGACACGTCACATAAAAAAAAGTTTTTAGAATGCAACGAGCTGTGATGCGACTCACTAAGTTTACGCCTGCCGCGTTAATATTTAATGAGTCGCAAGTAATTCACGTGGCAGAGAAATTTAAAAGACTCGGTGACTGTATCCGGAACGTGTTTCACCAGACTTTCTCAATTGGATTCGCCTGCGTTTTGTGTAATGCGAATAGTGAGTCTAATCTGAGGGAACGGAGGTCGAGTACGTAACCGGCGTAACGTCCGGAGACAGAGTAATGTGAAATATATATGCATTTTATTTAGCATATAATGAAATATGAGAATGTAAAATATGCGATTGCGATATCAAAAAACACGTTCTTGCACAATTACTTACGTTTCTCAACATTTTTTCGGCTGCATTAGGATCCCATTTTCTTGCTATAAAAAGAATAGAGAAATATAAATTTATTTTAACTTACACATCGTAAATAATACATTTCTTAGAATTATTTAAATTATTGCGTAAAAAAAAATATTGCTTTATATGTACAGGTATCTACAATATTTATATGTATATGTACATCTATTTTATATACAATATTTATATGTATATGTATATTGATGTAAAATCTATTTATTTATTATCGTGTAACTTGCAAGTGCATATAATATCAAATAAAATTTATACATATATTATTATACATATAACATCATTAAAAAAATAAGAAAAAATGTGCAGTTTTTATTCGCGTAGTCACAGAGTTATCGCGTTATTTATTTAAAATAAAATTTATTAAATTATTCCAATATAATATTGTTTAAATATATATTAATAACGTTTTCATTGTGCATTGGCGTTGTTTATTGGATATATGAGTCGTAGCAATTTGTGTAACTCACAATTCTATAGAGGCAGTTAATAATAACCGATAATTTCGAGTTTCCTCAATTTTGTAGTTTTGTTTCAAAACAGTTTAATAACTTCGCTAAGTGCCGCTTCGAAACATACACATGCACACATATTATATAAAAATAGGTAAAAGACAATGGATGTCGCGTCAATTTCTACATGATATTTCTCACGATGCACATGACTACGTTATGTACACATATAACACAGAATAAAACATTTATTGAAGTCACGAAGCATGGCTTCTAAGACTAATTCTACAATGTGCTATTTGTCTCTTTGCCTTCTTGATCAAAAAGGTAAGAGACAAACAGAGACAAACAGCAAGAAACAGGAAACAAAAAGCACATTGTAGAATTAGCCTTATTGTTAGATAATGACGTTCAGAACTATATGCAAGAAAAGCAGCTTTGCTGTTGTAAAATTGTTTAATATGATTGTTCTTTAGTTTTTCATTGAATCTAACAATGAGAACATCATGTGATGGGGTCAGAGATTTTTATGCGCTTTTTATAAGCTGTTCTTGAGCGAAAAAAAAAACCGATACGTATCCGGCTGTTTCAGCCATTGGCTCATAGTTTCGAAGAAATCGATTTTTTAAATAATTATTGTAACAATTTGAAAAATGTACTGTATAAATGAAAATATCACTATCTTTATAAATTTCATTTTATGTTATTAGTTTTAATTACTTTTTGATTATAATGAAATTTCATGAAATTATATATTGTGTTTAAACTGTTTAATTATTATCTATTATATAATACTAATATGTAATTTCATGAAATTTCATTACAATCAAAAAGTAATTAAAACTATAATAATATTAAATTAAAATGAGATTTATAAAGATACTGATATTTTCATTTATACAGTACGTTTTTCAAATTACTACAATAATTATTTAAAAAATCGATTTCTTCGAAACTATGGGCCAATGGCTGAAACGGCTGGACACGTATCGTCTTCTTTTCGCTTAAGAATAAACTGTAAAAAGCGCATCAAAATCCCCGTCTCCGTCACCTGGTGTTCCTTGTAAGTATACAAACCAATCATATTCAAGAATTTCACAACAGTTGCAAAGATATTTTTTTCTGTTGAACGCAACCATTATTAATTGGTTATCAGGGAGAGAGGGTAGAGGGCCATACCTCTTAACCAGCGAAGCAGAAAGTAGTCATCGTGGTGCGGCTGTAGGATATCTTGCACTGACCGTCGAAACTGCACGAAAAGAAAAGAAAGGAAGTATATAGATCTGCCTTGTTTATTTTTATATACTTTATATAATAATATTATTGAAAGTGTTCATTTTCGATTGCATAATTTTGTGATTTATGATATTATTGTAACTTCATTTGATTTATGAATATTTATGTATCGAACGTGAGAACGAGGAACAAAGTTACTTTATAAATATGTATCATGTGAATCATGTCGCTGCATGTGAACGTTATAAGAAATTATATACTTTTTTTTTTTATTAAAATATGCTTACGTAAAGATTATATTATACGTTTTTTTTAGAAATGCACACTGACTTCATTTTGCTTCGCATTACCATCGCACCGTAACGTTTCCGACATGCGATTCTTAATTATGATTTATAGGAAACAAATGCCACCGTGTAATATAATTATAATGATGTACGCGAGGAAGTGAAACTTTCTTGTCGATTTCTGTAATTATCAATTATCTCCGTGAGAGAAAGAAAGAGAGAGATGAAAAAGGTCCGTACTGAGTTGTTACATTATTAAACCTAATCAAAGTGTCTACTTTCACTTAAATCCATAGGATACCACGGAGAGCGCAGAGTTTGGTGATATTAATATTGACTTCGTATATATTTTATATAAGAGATGTTCATCTTTAAAGAATATAATCCTTTTTATACAGAGAAATTTGCATTTTTTTTTTATCAAACGATTATGCAGCATGTGCTACAAACTGACAGATAACAATAGTTAAAAGAAATTTAAAGATATTATCTCGTATAATTCACCAGTCTGAAGTTATGATTATACGTTTTACTATGAGCGTGCATATTTATTAATTTTTTTACAATTTAATTGATTTTTGTTAATAAATAATTTTAGTTTTTCTCTTTTGTTTATGCTATGTAAATGTATTATTACAAACTATAATAAAATAGAATTCACATTTTTCCTCGAGCTTAGAAGTTGCATAAAGGCTTTGAAACAATTCCACGTATGAGACTTTTTACAATTCTACGTATGAATGTATTAAATAATTATCTATTTATGGATATCGCCTTGAACAAAACGTGCATTCATTGGACAAAATATTTTCACTAAAAAATTTTTACTAAAAGAAAGAAAAGAAAGGAAAAAAGAAATATTAGCTTTTTTGCTATCAAGTTAATCAATCTTTTCCTTAACAAAAACAATTATTTGCATAATTATTGATTCTTATCCAATTATCAAAACATATAATTTTCCTAGTAACAGTTATTTACAATATAAAGTAAATATAACGTATAACAAGAAAGTATTGCTGCAAGAAGGCAACAATTTTCGACTGGATTTTAAATGTATGAGAGTAGCATGAACTGTAATGAAGTTTTCAGTAGATCTGGATAGTTGAACAAGATTATTAAAGCGCATAGCAGTTAAAATTCTTCTTACGGAAAGCCGGAGGGAAAATCTTGCTAACTATTCTATTTAAAAATCGTAAATTGTTTCATCATAAAATAATTGCTCTCCACATGCACGAAATAACCGAAATGATATGATGAATATATGTCGATCTCTTGCGTGGAAGATGTTATGACACTGATCTCATTTCTCAATAAACAGGAATGGAAAAAAAGGGTGCAGACAGGAGTGAGAGGATCAGAATAGGTCACACATCGTCATCATAATTATCGAACAATGTAAACCGGTTCCTCTTTTTAAGAATTGAACTTGTTTGTAATTGCGATAGACTTTTTTCTCTGCATGTACGCCAGCTAAAGCTAATGGTATTGTTTTATAAATGCTCAATAATCGCATAATGGGCACAAGCAGTTTTTTCTTTCATATCATTTTGAATACTCCCGATCGAGCGTGAAACGTCAATTGAAAAAAAAAAACATAAATTCTAATCGAACTTTACAGACGCTATCACTGTAGCTTTTATGTTCGCTGTTTATTTTAAGTGCAAGAAGTAATAAAAAAAAGCAAAGATATCTTTTGACGTTTTAATATTAATTTTCATGATGCTAATTACATCCGTACATTTAGGAAGGTTCATCGAATACTCAATGAAGGTCGCACATGTTTAATCTCCGTCACAGCTGCAGACTACAGTAGAAAGCTATTTACAGCGAAACGATCAACACTAAAAATGCAATATTTTTTTTCCATACAATTTCTATCGTCTTTTACAATGGAATCGAGAGTAAGTTGCTTGAAAATAGAGATAAAATATAACAGAAATCGGGGATTTGTCACAAGGAACTTTCTCGAAAGTAAATTACGAAACAAATAATTGTTTTTGGAAAAAGACTATTTACGTGAATTATGTAAAATATAGATTGCAATTCGTTATAAGTTATAGAAAGTATCAGAAATGTACCGTGAAGCAGTATTTCTTTATAGCCAATTATGATAACTTTGTTGCGAAACAATAAACTCGTATCTATACTAAATAAAAAGTTTACACGATTTTGTAGTAAACATCACGAGCATTAAACACATAGCAAAAATATCGTACACATTTTCTACGAAATTACGAATGCAGTATCATTAAATATTTTTATCCTTCGAATAGCATATGACATAGGAAACGAGAAAAATTATATATAGGCGAGTGCTTTTTATTGGTTAATATATTAATCTGATACGATATTAATGGTATTATTAAAATACAAGGAACTTAAGAAACGTAATCAAAGTCTCTCCTGATCTCGTAATAAATTATATAAAAATAACTCCAATGCGAATTTTTCAAAGATATTTAGATGGTTTTTGGAGATATTATATGCCTAAATTTTGTTTCTTTAATAAACTGATTTTAAAATTATAAAATTAACATTTTATACTTTTAATTAATCATAAAATATTAATAAAATTACGGTCATTAGCTTGAGATAGAGAAAGCAAAAAGATGTCGAAAGAAATGCAAAATCTAGTAAACACGCTACGTAAAAACATTAACAGTTAATATTTTCCTTGATTTACTATTAATAATTTACTTAATTATTTATTTACAATTCCTATGAATTGCCAATATCTCAATTACAAAAATACTTTGATAATTGCCACATAGAGACAAGCGAATATCCTTTTTAAAATCATATAGCGTGTTTACTAAATTTTGCATATCTTTCGATACTTTCTTATTTACTTTATCTAAAGTCGTAGATTATTATTGCAAATTTCTACTGATATTTCCAAGACATTTTGTACGATTGCTTCAAACGGATTAAGCCGAGAAAAAGTCATTTTATGCATATGCAGGTCGCGATAGACATTTTGTGTGTGTGTGTGTGTGTGTGTGTGTGTGTGTGTGTGTGTGTGTGTGTGTGTGTGTGTGTGTTGCATCGATGTCGTAATTCAAAACAGCGCGGGCGCCCGCGCTGGCGAATTTACATTGCATTGGTATGCATTGAAGACCTTTTTAAAGTGTGCGAGATTTGCGTGTGCCCAATTATTCTTAGTCGCGAGGCTGTGATAGTCTCCAAACATAACAAATGAAAGTGTCGCCACATCACCGGCATAACGTTTTCCTCTCGAACGACAGAAAAAAAAAAACAATAGTTAATTTAACTGGTCACGTTAATTGGTATCAGACGAGTGAAACTTAATAAACTTTTTCAATATATGTGTCACGTACTAGATGTTTTTTTTAGTGACACATTTGAAATGATAAAATTCTCAATATTAAAATATAGCAAACATATAAATTGAAACAGAGGAAGAACTGGTGACTCAGATTTTCTGCGTATTTGTATGAATCTTAATTGCCATAAAAAAATTGTGGACATAAAATCCGGTTAGTATTGAAACAAGGTTGTAAATTGAAAGGCAATCGACGACTCTTTTCTTACGATGCAATCGGAAAAGTGCCAATCTCTTCGCGATCCGCTGCATCTTGCTGCTTGAAATAAGTGCTCGACTGCTTACTATCCGTTCTAGATATCGGAGGTGAATGATCACTAGGTTGTAAGAGGACTGAAGTAATTTCTCTACGCGCATTGAAGCCTTTGCCTTCAATATCTTGTATCACATATAACGAAATTTTCAATTCTATTGAGAAATCATGTCAGTAAATCTGAATTAACCTGATGCCCTTGAGAAATGTTTACGGAATCACAGCGCGGATATAATTTCTTTTAAAAACATTGAGAACTCTTTTTCATAATCTAAAGTTACGTTTTAACGTAAAGATTTCTTACGCAAATTATATCTTCGAAAATATCTTATAAAATTTTCATAGTAAAATTATTTTTTCATGACATTTTCGTTAATAAAATTAATAGTTAATATGATGCTTTTTAAATTCGTTTTTCTTTGAAAAATTTTAGATAGAAGCAGATACAGTTTGGCAAAAATATGAATACTTTTATTTACATTAAAAAATATAATTATTTGTTTTATGAAGTTCTTTATCTTATATCTATGCGTTTTATTAATATCTCAATTTTTAATAAAAAATTTTCATTAAATAAAAACTTTCTTTAATTTTCGTCTTTTTGTTTTATCGAGAAGAAGAAAAATAGATTGCTTGATTTAAAGGATTTGTTTGTAAAAATTATATTTGCTATGTGTCTGCTTGATCATGAACGTCAATAATCTATACTTATCACTGTATTTATGTGCATGCTTCATAATTAAATTGTCAATTTGTCGAGTATCCAATAAATGTCAATCTTTTAGATTTATGTGATAACTGACGCTATTACATTGATATATGTTATATCATTTACGTGAAGTACTGATATTCCTATCGACGTCGGGGTTTAAAATATTTCTGAATTATCTCTGCCTAAGGATAAATATTTTTTTTTAATTTCATATATGGAAATGTATTTATACAGCTTATCAATATTATCATTTTTACGTGTGTAAACATAAGATAAAGCAGAAACTCGGGAATAATAAATAAATGCGCATCGCATCAACACTTCGTGATATATGCCCCTTTTTTTTCTTTAAACTGTGGTATAACATTTCTTTATTTAAATGTATTAGTCATGATAAAAGTTTAATAATTATCAATATTTACATATTTTTTAAGTTCATGTAAAATATGTCAAGTATAATAGAAATAAATTTTAGCCTTTTAAGCAACCTTGTCATTTACCTTTTAAAAGAAAAAAAAAGTGATAACTTTATTAACAAGTTTTGTCTGCAAATTAATTAAAATTCACAATATACGATTAATTAATATTAACCTGAAAAGTCATTGAATTTTTATAATTCATTAGCATTCGAGAAATAATAAGGATTGTTCGAACCTTATCGCATTATAGTTTCGTAACAATAATTAAATATTATCTCGATAATTTAATTAATTATTTCTGTTAATAATTATACGTACGTATCCGGTGTTTTTTGCGTTATTCATATTGTAACATGTAAACTTAAGCACAGACTATATTTTTTCATACCGTTATACGTGTTTTCTAACGTATTTATTAAAAGTTAATATTAAAATGAATAGTTTTAACAAATTTAAAAGATTTAAAAGTACTTGTTTATTTAGTATGGTTTATAATTTATTATTATTATTTATAATTGTAGAAGATATTTTTCATTCCGATAAGGAGAAAACTAAACTGTGAATACCGATCTAAGTAAATGTATGATACTTTATTCACATAGGATAAACTAGGGTATTATGGCCATACGGAAAAGATGGCCATAGGCCATAATTTCTCCAATAATTGATAAATAGTGCATTTTTATAGTCATTCTTAAAGATAATCAATATTTACAGTAGTTCATATGAGTACACTTCAAAATAACAATATTATAAATATTATCTAATATTTTTTCTATCGACTATCTGCAAAGTTTTGCACATGTTTGCTAAAAACTGTTATAATGTCTAATAAATTACAGTTAAGCTGCCATAATCAACATTACATACACAAAAGGTACGTAAATTGCAATGTGACCTATAATTAATACTTTTATTTTCACTATTTATTTATAAATACTATGGCTATCTTTCTTAATATCACATGGCCATCTTTTCCCTAAAAATCAGATAAGATGACTAATGCATACTTTATAATATTTTGATAAAATTAAAGTTCTGTTAAGTATTTTCTCTTTAATTTCGATAGTATTTGTTACTTTAAGCTTCAGTGAAAGTAATATCCCAAATATTGTTAAAAAGTAACAAGAATAAACGTATGTTTTTTGCATTTTAAAAAACTATGGCCATCATACCTGAGTTTACCCTATACACTATATATTCCTTTAAGTAATTTTATATAAAATAGACACATTAACAGAAAATCTTGTCTCTATTGTGTCTATTTTAAGGTTCGCGTTAAAAGAGCCACGGCAGTTGTCTCACGCCATGTCTTAGCGCCGAGACACTACTATGTCTCCAGATACTTCCTACTTTTTTAACATTCTATTTTCTAGAATAAATTATACTAGAATAAATGGTAAAACTTCAGAAAAGAGGAGCACCCGTCGACGACCTTGACCTTGAAATATGTTATCATCACCCTGAGTAATCTCCAACAAGTTTTAGCCGTCGCTCGTTATTCGTTAAAAAGTTGTTAGCAAAAAAAGTTTAAAAAAATAACGTTTCATTTCTGCTATATATAATATTAGAAACTATTCTACACTCTTCTCCTTGCTTACGTAATATCACGTAAAACAACTCCCATCCTCTGCTTGGAGGAGGGCGGGACACTTCCTATGAAGTAACTTTCAAAGTCTTGTTGAAGATCACTCAGGGTCACGATTTCGAAAGTCGCTTCGCGCGTAAAAATATACTACTAATGTCACTAGTGCAATAAGTAAATTCGACAAGTGGTATTACTAATAGTGTAATAGTGGTGGAGAAAATTTCATTAAAATTTCACTGAAATTTTAGTAAAATTTTAATGAAATTTTCTCCACCACTATTACACTATTAGTAATACCACTTGTCGAATTTACTTATTGCACTAGTGACATTAGTAGTATATTTTTATGCGGATAAGTCGTGCGCCCTCAAGCAGAGGGGGAGGTGGAGTCGTTTCGCGTTAAAAAAACCTAACCCTAATCCAACCCATTTTTTGGTGCGAGGTGGCTTTCATTTCGCGTGGAAAGTTGTAAACCTGATAGAACTTTGCTTCTTGAATGTACAACTTTCCACGCGAAAGTAAAAAATGGGTTGTGTGGGTGTTAGGATTAGGTTTTTTAACGCGAAACAACATCGATTTACCTTCCGCGCTAAATGAGGACCACCTGAAGAGTAAAGAGAAACAGGAGGGAATGTTTGGTTCTAAGCAAGCGGATGGAAGTGATTATACATACTAGCATAAAAAGTGGACGCTTAAAATGGCTGCCATGACGTATATCCGTCCGCGGATTTAGCTACTCCCACTATTGATACATTTCCTCCTGTTTCTCTTTACTCTTTGGGACCATCTCACACCAAAAAATAGGTTGAGTGTTAGGGTTAGGTTTTTTAACACGAAACGACTTTCATTCCACCACTGGATCCACAATACACTTTTCAACACAAAGCGAGATTCTATATAGGTTTACAACTTTCGTTATAGCAGAAATGAGGCATTATTTTTTAAACTCTTTTGTTAATGACTTTTTAATGGACAGCGAGCGATGGCTAAAACTTGTTAAAGGTTATCAGGATGATGACATTGACAACATATGTCAAAATTAAAGTTGTCGGCGGGTGCTTCCCTTTTCTACCGAATAAATTATATGTATAGAATGAATTATATCTCTGCTCTTACCTTCATCAATGCAAATCGCTGGTCATCCGCCAATTTTAATGACATTTTTGTTATTTGACCACTTAAGAATTCACAATAACGTCTCTTCAGTTTATCGGTTGATCGTTAAATTCAAAGATCTTCACAGTCGATTTTTATATCTATGGCTAGAATAAAAAAATTGATATATATATATTCTATATTAACTGTTAAAGCAAATTTTTATTAAGATATGTAGTATCTTAACGCATATATATATTATTTTCGTATCTTTTCTGATTACACAAGTATGTGATATACATATAATATTGATGGAGAATAATTATTATTATTAATATTTTTGTCGGTGTTAAATCACACCAAGATAGATGAATTTTTTAATTAATAACGTTATTTATGTGTATTGATCAAAGGTTTAAGGAAAACATGCAATTCATGATTATTTCTAATCGATAAACAGTGGATTATAAAAGTTAATTACTCGCATGGTTAATTATATCGTCTTGGATTCTTTAATTAACTGCATATATTATATACTAAATTAATTCATACAGTACAGTACTAATGTTCAAAACAATAAGACATGAAAATCTGTATTATTGTTTTTTTTAATTATGATAAATAACAATTACTGATAATCCGCTAATCGCCTCAAAATGAATGGCTATAATAACTATAAAATTTGCATTTTTATTACGAGATTAAACTGCTAGTTGTGGTTTTAATTAAATATTATTATATTTGAATTATATACGAGGAAATAAATGCAGAGTATAATAATGTTTTTATCGGCGTTAAATCGCATAAATATATGAATTTTTTAATCGATAGTATACGGTCACACATATTTGCGTCAATTAAGATCAAAGTTTAAAACCAATACATATTTTACAATTTCTTCAAATAATAATGAAATATGAAAATTAATTATATTTTGCTTTTCTTGTACTCTAGCTAATTATATGATATGCATATATTATTGAATTGATTCAATGTTTATTATATTAAAGCAATAAGATAACACGATATTATTGTTTCGTTTAAGATGTATATATGTCACATTTCAAAGTATAATCCAAAATAAAAAAGAAGGATATGTCAGAAATAAATATTGATAAATTAATGTGGAATATCTGAATTTAAATTTTTCTCGAACAATAATATTCCCTACGGCAGAGCGCAATACTATTAAATAAAGAGAATTAAAAAATTCGGATCGCCGCACAATATCGTCAGGATTTGTTGATGCTGACAGTATATTTAGTGATCGTGTAAAGTACGCAATATATGCTGACTTGAAATATCTTTTATCTAAGATAATATTTATCTGAGACCGTCAAAATATTACTAATTAGTATTATTGATTGCGTAAGGTCCGCATAGAAGATATTTGTGGAAAAGTTTATTTGGATCTATTTATTCGTTAAGTAAAAGTTATTTACTTAAAATTGCAGTAAAATATAATTATTGCGCTGTATAAACCATTCTAAGCTAAAATCATAGATGTAATAGCATAAATTGCGTGTTTTTATATGAAATTCTCACTGTCGGTTTAGAAAGAATGAGGTTGAATCATATCACTCCCTCTTTTTCTAAAGTATCAAGTCGAAAAGAAATACTGATTCAATTCTTTCTAACGGAACATATATATTAAGCTTATAGGGAATTTACAGTCTATTTTTACGTCTCTGACTAAATCGTTGTTTTGTTCTTTGTAGTTGGTTTCAAGGCATATTCACGACTAAAATTTTTGATTATTGAAATACAAAATTATTGAAACAAGAAACTTGTAGTTTTTAAATTTCAATAATTTTTGATACTGAAAGTATAGTCCAAATATCCTTAATTGTGACAAATTATTGACAATTATTGACAATCCGTTAATTGCCCCAAAACGAGTGGCTAATTATAAAATTAATGTTATCTTTATTAGATTACGCAATCGTAGTTAAATTACTACTTGTAGTTTCTATCGATGATTGTTATAATTGAATACATGAGAAAATAAAATACGAACAATTGTTTGTATATGCTCTACACAATAAATGCTTATATTCCATAGAATGTGAACCAATTATCACTGACACTCATCATTATCATTACAATTTCTATCATGTTACAAATGAGATAACATCTAATAACAAAATTTACAGAAAACGCAGTGTTTAAAAATCATTGACGTTTTAAATATGTTCTAGGCATTGAGACTTTCTTTCGTGTTATTATTGTGATGTGTTACCACTTGTCATGTACCACGTGTTATAATTTAACACATGTATAAGATTTGCAAAACAGTAAGTTGATATAATTTTAAAAAAGGAACATCTTATACACAATTTGTAAATATTTCCCCATATATGTACATCTGTATTATTCAAGTTATCGTTACGAGCTTATTTTTAACGTTTACCGTGGGAACAGAGATATGAAAAAAGTTTTGCTAAATTCAAGAAGTTGTCAGAAATCACGAACACCCCTCGAAGATATCAGCCAACGGTGTTTATTCACTCGACGAACATGAACTCAGGGAGCACCTCGAACCCGCGATCGCGACTGTTCGGCGTCGACTGGGCTGACTGTGTTCAGGTCGATGCCGCAACAGGTGTCTATTGCAGCGACCGCGATTGCTGCGCGATTGCTGCGCGTCTGCGTGCACGCGTGCGTACGTCTGCACGCGCCTGCCTTCACTCGACGCGATTACACTTCAGAAGGTGAGATAGGTATCAACGTCACGAAGCGAACGGCACCGAAGGAATGGTATACCAGCTTGTTCTCGACAATGGCAAATTTCCAACCGCCCCACCATCGGGTCACTCGCACCAGCCACCTTCGCCGTCGCCGCGACGTTGTTCGACGGAGCTGGTGCACGCGTGGTGAACGCGTGCTCTTGCCGTTCAGAAACTTGATAAACGGGCTTGTCGCGCCCAAGTTCCGGTTTTCCGACCAGATCCTCACACAGAAAGAACACTGAAATACCTACAAATTTTCACAGATACAAATCTGAAAATAATTTTGTTAATTCATCAAAATATTTTTGAAGAAAACTCAAGGCATGATAAGTAGTGCTGCAAAAAATTGGATATTTCAGCGATTACCTTGAGCGTCCTACATAATTATTTTGGTAGTCCAACAAAATTTATTTTCAAATTTATATATCTAGCAAAATTTTTAGATTTTAGACAGCAAAACTTAATTGTTCTTTTTGTGCATGCAGTTGTGTTTCGACATCGCGATCGGAGTCACGCAGCCACGTATTCGACATTAAGCGTCCGTTACTACCACTATCACCATCACAGAATGAGGTTCATGCGGTCGGTGCGACGTGATTGCACCGTGCTCTGGCGATGATACACCGCCGAATCCGTGCGCGGCGCTTCGTGAGCAGCCGCTGTCTTTTGGAGAACGTCTCCGTGTTGTCCCCAATATTCTCTCCTAAATGATTTCCGAGGGATGGACGATGTTAAGGATGCATTACACATATTTCCAAAATAATTAAAAAGTTATGAAAAAATTACAGACTATTCTAAGATCACATTTAACAGTAATATAAAAAATTTAGCGGTCCACCATCTAGATCAAAATTATTTCGACTAGAAGTAGTATTTTTTTAAATCTGTGCTAATATAATATAGAAATATATATGGAAGTGTACTACAAAATAATGACAAAAATCTCAATTTTTATACAAGTTATACTTAAAGTATTCGAGATGATTTATGTAAAATTATATTGCGATACAGAGATTAGTTGTTCTGTAAATAAACAAAATATTTATTTTTTGTAAATCTTTAACCAATTTTTGAATCGCAATGAATTTTTTTTTTGCATAACTCATTTTGAATACTTAAAGTATTTATACAAAAAATTGTAATATTTGTTTTGTTTTTTAAATTTTAATTTATAACAGTAAGAATAATGATAAATGAATTAAATAAATAAAATAAATGAATTAAAAATGTTATTTAAGAAAAATAGATTGCTATAAACACAACTTTCATGTGTAAATAATTTAAAGTGTAAATATTAACATATTTGTAAAAATGCGTATAAAATACAAACTTAAGAATACAATAGAAGGTATGAGGAATAAGGAATAAAGAATTTCAATCCATTAGAAATCGGATACACCGGAATATATAGTTTCTGATAGATTGAAATTGTTACCTGGTAAAAAATTGTTCATACTGAATATGTATAAATATGTATAAACGTACACAAACTTTTATAAACATATACAGTCAATGATTGTCATGTATGATTGTCAATCATATATGAAATGTGTCCATGCATATTCATACATCCCTTTTTCTTTTGTAAAATTACTTTTTAGTGTAATAGAAAGAATAATAGTAATGTGAAAACATAAAAAATTATTAAAGGGATCATTTTCACAGTGTTTATTTTAGAAAAAAAATAAGTTTGAAGAAATATAAAAAAAATTGCTCATACACAATTATGCATAATTTTGTACATAATTATACGTAAGGAATTTTTTTACATTTTTTTAAACTTGATTTTTTTAAAAACAAATAGTGTAAAAATTAATCTTTTTTGTATTATATAAGCATATATGGACATGATTTTGATGCATGTTTATGAATATTTATGTTTATGAGGCATTCTTTCTCAAACGGGCCACCCCTTCTCTCCATTTCAAATTTCAAGCAAAAAAATTTTAGTACGGCTTAAATTAAAGGTAAAAGTGTCTACTTTTTAATGCCGTTGGGCCCTTTTTAAAATCCGCTTGACGGAGTTCCGGACTCGTCGCTCTCCAGATTCGTACTGATTATTCGGTCGCGCGAACTCGATTGGCTCGCGGATTTGATTATCGGAGCGATAACGCGATTCGCCGATACCATCGGCCCAGCAACGAGCGACGAATCAGGTGCTTCAATAACAAGTACGACGAGAGCCTTTTTTCCATGTTTAAGGACTCTCGTCGTCATCAACACACAAATACTCGTTTGCGACGTCGAGATCGCTCGAAAGTCGAATCAACAAATATTCGAAGAAAGTAAGTTTTTCTAGCGATCCGGACGACCACACGAATTAACGCTCGAATTCGGAACAATCTGCTTTCTGTAACGAATATAACATAATAACGATAATGCCGCGTTTCATTCGAAGGAGTTGTAACAACTTGGATCTTGAAAACTCATCGTAGTCAAGTGAGTTGTTCACCGATGAATCGATAACTTTGATTTTAAAAAGGGCCCAACGGCATTAAAAAGTAGACACTTTTATCTTTAATTTAAGCCGTACTAAAATTTTTTTGCTTGAAATTTGAAATGGAGAAAAGGGGTGGCCCGTTTGAGAAAGAATGCCTCTTATACATATTTATATATATTCATGCATGAACAGGGTATTTACCGGGTATTCATAGTCAGACCTTGTATTAAGGCTTCCTTAAATTTATCTTTAGATGCTCAATAGCCAATGAAATAATTCGTAGAGTATCTGAAAATCAATTTAAGGAAGACTTAAATATAAGTCTTGACTATGAATACGGACAATAATCTTCCTATTGTATCTGTATCCTAATGCTTCCACATATTATGGAATTTTTTGGAACAAATTTTGATCGGAATTATTTCATTCTTCGAGAAAACACAATAAAAATCTAGAGAACAATCATACTTATTCCGCGATCGGAATCTATTATAAATAATTCCATAATACGCATCCTTGATTTAAATTATACTAAATATCAACTTTTAGTCAACTAAAAGACAAATATCCCAACTATAATATAATCAGCTGTCAGTCAGCTGATGTAGTCGACTTTATGTTAGTTAATAAACCGACAATTATCTAATCTTATTTTAATAGTCGGCTAAATATCGACTTTGAAAGTCAACTTAAAATCGATGAAAAAACTCGTTGACTACCAGTCGATAAACGGTCAGATATGCTACATTTATAGGCATGTTTTGCTTTTTTTTACTAATATTCTTGCGGCGTGAGGCAATAATAAATCGTTTTGATTTGGCTTACTATTAACTTGAGAAATTATAAGAGCTTTTGTGTCGCAATATATACGCGTAGAATGGTATATATATCAGAGGTTCATCTTGAGAATTTATTTATAGCCTACATTCAGCGCTCTAAATGCCATTGTTCAATTTAGAGATTCGTTTATCTAATATTAAAATTATATCTAATCTTGAGTCACGAGTTTATGAGTTTATTGTATGATTATTTCCAATATCAACGTTCAGACTTAAAAATTTCACTGTTTACGCACATCGAATTTTAATTCGATTGTATTCGAGAGATCGTTGTAAAGAAAATCGTAAATTTATCATGCGTACTTCAAGAGAAATTGTAATGTAACTTGGCTTCAAGGTCAGTTTAAATATCTGGCAAGTTGAGCACCGACGTAATCGTTCTCCATCTTGCTATAATCATATACGATTCTCTGTAACGGAAGATTCAACCTGATCCGCACATAAGCAGAGATTTTCTAGTCGAGATTGTAAATAGTAGGTAACTAATTCTTCTTGTGCGCCTTTCTGTCACGCTTTTACTGTGACATGAAATGTGTCGCGAGCGCAAACGAAACGAGACATTTGCTTCATTAATTCAGCAGTGATCGAAATTTCGCCTGACGTGGAATTTTACTAAATCATCGTGACAGATAAAAAAAAAATTAAATTAAGGATGTATGTGTCACATCTAAAAACGATATCAAAAATATAAAAATTTCATATGATTGTTTTATTATTATATCTCCGTAAAATTTGAATACAGTTTTCTTATTGGTTTAAAAATTAGTAAATTTTTTTTCTTGATTGTAATGCAAAATGGTTTCTTGTAATACTTATTTGCAAATTTGATGAGGTAGCAACATTAAAAATTCGACACATAATGATTTGAGCGCGGTTTGTTAAAATTATATTTATGTATATATATTGTATACGTATAATCACATCGAAATATTTATAAGCACTAAAATCCGCTTTAAACGAAAATAATATTTTTCTTACATAAAATTTATTTTCCGTGGTTCAATCTTGAATTATAATTAAGAATTAAGTTAAATTTTATACAAATTGTTGCAAAATATTGTTATTTTGCTATATATATATATATTCATTACTAAAAATTGTCAAATATTGGTCTTGAATAATTTTTTACTCAAATTCTATCAATTTTACAGAAAAACTGCAACAGACAAAAATCATTAATTTTCTTCTCATAAAATTCTGGGAATTTTTTCAGAATTTTTTAATATCGTATTTTGTCATATTGGTAAAAATAAGAAAATGCAGTACTAAAAAGTTGATAAAAAATTCTAAAAAAGTTCTCAGAACTTTATGAGAAGAAAATAAATGATTTTTGTCTCTTGCAGTTTTTCTGTAAAGTTGATAGTATTTGAGTAAAAAATTATTCAAGGCTAATATTTGGTAATTGTTAGTAATTAATATCTTGTGAACTATTGCGAAAATTGCAAAATGGTAAAGGACTTTTCGACTCAGTTTAGTCCGCTCTATCTACACAAAAGTGAGTGGTAAAAACTTTTGGGACATCCTGCATATATAACCATTAATTATACATATACGTATATAACCATTAATTATACATATGTATAATCATTATAGCCAAATTATTTGTTGTTTTCTTTTTTGCAGTTAGTTTAAGATCATATTCATAGGTTAATATCATCAAAAGTTTTTGAATAATATTGTTTGATATTAGTTTTTTTGGCTGATACTTCCAATTGATATTGTATAATCCATACATCCTTAAATCATGATTGCGTCCGAT